CCCCCCCCCACTCTCTGTGTCGCCACTTTTACACACGTCGTTTACATACGTTTCGTTTTTATCATTCACACACCCGTCCTGCACGTCGCAGACGCGACTGGCGTCTATCGTTCATTTGGCCGTTGCCTGCTTCCTTGATTGTTCGTGAAGCGCGCTAAGATTCACCCTCTCGCTCGCTCCCGATTTCGCTTCCGCGCGATCTCGCTCGTACGTTCGCGCGATCGATTGGTTTGCGCGCACCTTTCGTTCTCGCACCTCCCCGATCGCTTTTTGTTCGCCAGCCGACCTTGATGTTACGTTTTTATCATTTTTCCTGCGTCACTCTCTCTCTCTTTTTTTTCCACCCGCTGGCATGTATCTCCTCGTGTATGTGTATGTGTATATCGCCGTTCATTTCGAGCCTCTCGTCGGCTTGCTGAATGTGTCGCCTTGTTCATTCCTGTGCATTGTGAAATAGTCACACTCGTACGACTGACCGCCAACGGCGGTTCGAACGATCCTCGTTCTCTCGCGCGCGCGCTCATACCAACGAGCGCGCGCCGTAGCAGCGCAACTAGGGATTTAACGAATGAAGCTAACGAATGAAGCATACAACATGCGTCATCCGGCGTCGTCGAGAGCGCTCGCTCGCGCCATTACGCCGGGAAGTATCGACGAAACGGCGATATCTTTCGAACGCTCGCATGTCCGATCGATTCGAGATTACAAGATCACGACGGATGTCTCCCCCGTATCGCGGGCGATTTTGCGGCCGCGCGGGGACCGCGACGACGGCACCGACATGCCGCGCGAAAGTGGAGGAAAAGAAAGCGGCACTAACGAGCCCTGAATTACGTTAAACTGTCGCCCGACGAACGGAACGAGAGAGACGGCTCTCGTCTCTCAGAGAACGCGCGCGCGGAGCGCCGAGGAGAGACGGCGCGGTAAAAAGGCGGGAGGACGCCCCCTCCCCCGTCCGCCGGGAAACTTTAAAATTCTCATCCCCGGAACGAAACAACAATTTGTTTCGTTAAGTAGCCGCGGCGCTCTTTTGTTTTTGCGGCTTCTTTTATTTTAGCGGCGATAGCGCCGGGCGGTCGGAGTGACGGCAGAAAAGGTAACGAGGGGTGGAGGTGGCGAGACGGAGAAAGGGAGAAAAAGAGAGAGTGAGAGAGAGAGAGAGAGAGACGACGACGAGGAGGCGAGAGGGGGTTGAGAGGATACTCGTCCCTCCCTCTCGTGTTCCACCTCGTCCACCTTTTCTTCCATCGCCACCTTAAAAGCCGTCCCGCGCCGCGCACTGCGTTCGCTCGCTCGCGCGAGCGCGAGGCGAAACTTTCGGAAAATCGCAAAAACGCGGAGCGATGGCGAAGTTTCCACGTTTCACCGAGATTTAATTAAAACATTCGCCTCCTTTGTGCCGTCCCCACGCGCCGTTCGCGGACCATCGGGCCGTCGAAGCTCCGGTCGTTCTTCTCGTCTTGTCCGAGTGACGAGGACCGATACGAGCGTCTTCGACAAGTCGATACCGATTCTCAACTTTCAATCTCTCTTCCCAACACGCGAGCTTCACCGATGACTGCCGATTTTCGCTTCCGACGAGGGTCGACATTCCGAAAATATGCGCGCCAAGGCAATCATATCGTCGAAATCGGAATATCGCATCTCGATGAAGAACTGTTGGAAAGTGGCGCGTGCTTCGATTAAAATCGATTTCAAGTGTTAATTAAAAACAATGCTCGGGAGATAACCAAAAATAATACACGCGGCCGCGTTGCGCCGCTGTCTCCGAGCATGATGACGTCCTGTGGGGGGGATTCGAAACGCTCAAGGATTTACTGCGAGCTCGTGGGAAAGACGGGAGGGTCCCGCGAGGTGGAGAGATGAGACGAGTGCGCCGCGATATTACATAAACATTCCGCGGAGAACGGTTCTCAGGACTCCGAGGACGGGGGGTGCACCCGCGTTTTTTGTTCTCGCGCTACCTCGAAAATTAAAATCCAATTATTTCGACGCCTCTGCGCTCTCTCTCTCTCTCTCTCTCTCTTCTCTCTCTACTGTCCCGGGTCGGCCGATTCAAATGAATTTTTTGCGCGGGCTTCACCCCAATTCGCTCTTTCAACGCGCGTGAAACCGGTTCGCTCGCTCCTTGCATGCGTACGCTCGGCGCAACAACGCCGCAAAGTTGCATCCGCACGCACGATCCCACCCTTGATCGATTCCCGAGCGTGATTTCGGATCGCGCTGACAGCTGCCGGCGGGAGAAACGCGGCCGGGAGGAGGGAAAGAACGAGAGGTCGGGAAAGCGGTAGGGCGAGAGAAAAACCGCGGCAGAGGTCGGGAGAGAACTCTTTTCCAACGGATGCGAACTGTCGCGACGCAATTGGCGACAATCGTCGTCATTGTATCGGTGTGCGAAAAGTCACGTATCCCTGAAGAACGTCCTCGTGTCGCGGTTGTGCCTACAGATGTTGTGATATTACTATAACACTAATACTGATATTTTTCTGTCGATACCGGGTGTTTTTATATCGATATGCTCTTTCGACATTTGGAGTCGTATCAGTATGATTTTGTGTGTGTGTGTGTGTGTGTGTGTGTGTGTTTCGATATCTTTTTTTTTAATATTTTACTTTTCAGTCGATCCTCAGGATATTTTTGCTTCATGAAAAATTAATATAACGCGCAAGTTACGTTTTAAATCTGTCTTTTCTTATGATTTCTGTCACGTTAATTTTATGGTTATTTATTGATTACTGAAATTAAAGAAGGAAGCGTTCGGACATCTTTGCAAGTGCGGATGCAATCATGAATATCATTTTGCGTGTGTATATTGTTTTATTTCCACGTATACTGCAATAATTTTTAGCACGCGATTTCTCGTTTCTGACGTCATCAAACAAGGACAGTCATAGCGAGGAACTTTAACATATCCTTTTTAAGGTTATAATACAAACCGTAGAAAGTCCAGCTGTACAGAAGTATCTTTATACCATATTAAGATTATTAGTCCTGCGCAGACGTATGAAATCTTTAGAAGCTCGGAAGACAAACACTTGCTGCAAAAACATGGCAAGTATCGTTCGCGGCGATTAATATACGCGAGAACCGCCGGAACTCGTCCAGCGAGTAGCCGCGCGGTTTCCCGACTTCTTTTTGATCGCGATCGGACGCAAGAGGCCTCGTAGAGGTGCAACGAGGAAAACGAATGAAACTCGGAGATTACGAGGCCGCGACACGACGATGCGCCAAGTTTTAATAGATGAACGCCGCTCGAACGCACAGCGCGCACAATGCGGCACGATCGAACGACCGTTCCGCGTTCCTCATTCTCTGTCTCTCTCCTACGTTTTGCTCCTCTTATTACTACAAAGGGAAAAAAACGGAGCGCGTGTATTATCTGTTTACCGGCGCCGGGCGGCTCGTCTCGTTCAGGCATGCAAATCTCGAGGATAGTCTTTCTCACGTTGCTTCCCTCGGAGGAGCGAGCGCGAGTTTTTTCACCTCCTAGTGCCCGGAAGGTTCCCGGTGTACTATTTAAATAACGGTTCCCTCTCTCGCGCGCGCAAGAGCGTGCGTGTGTCATTGTTTCATCGTTCCTTCTCTTTCTCTTTCTTCCTGGGCGAGTAACCCTTCTGGTTACTACCGAAGAAAAGGGTGGGTAGTAGGAAGGGAAGGTGCGGCGGGAGGAGGGAAGTTGTTCTGTTTCGAGTCGAGGAAGAAAACCGAAAGGGCGAATGGTGAGGACGGGAGGGAAGGGGGTCAAGTTCCGTGCCGGATAGCCGTTACGGCAAAGACAGAATTACGATGTCTCAAGACGAGGGATGCGCCTCCCTCTCCACTCCCCCCTCTCCCTTTCGACCCGTTCTCGCTCGGTCCCGAGCGGATCGTCACGGAGAGTCTCTTGGCTTTTCAGTAATTTTCTATGATTTTCGGATCGCATGATCGGCGCCAATAACGCGCGCGCGTGTATCCCCGCGGCCTCTTCGGAAGCGGCCTAATCGAATGCGTTCGATCGCCCCGTGAAAGTCGGTGAATCCGAGAAGAGAAGCGGCAGTGGCGTGGTAATGACGGCGCGGGCCGAATCGTTTCGGGAATTTAATTTTGCCGGAGAACGAGCGCGCGTCTCTCCTGCAAAATCCAGCGTCTCTCAAAATTGTTCGAAATAAATCGAAAAGAGAGAGAGAGAGAGAGAGAGCGAAAGGCAGGACAATGAAAACGATTAGAAATTGCAGTATCTCGGTAATTGGCAAACAGAGATCGGCGAAATAGCGTCCGGAAAAATGATCACGATGATAACGAGGTCGGTCAAGAGGAAAAAAGCTCTCTCTTCTCCCTTCCACCCTGCTCTTCGATACCCTATAATTTTCCACTTCGCGAGAGTAATCGAATCGCGTTGCGCGCGCGAGCGGTCGCAAATGACATGTCAAAATTGCGCGACTGGTACAAAGAGTTATTAAAGGGCGAGGAAGAAGGTGGAAAACGATGCGTCGCGACGGCGCGCACACGCCGCGGCATGCACCGGTTCTTCTTTACTCCTTCTCCCTCCCCCTCCCCCTCCCTCTCTATCGCTCTCTCGCTCGCCCGCTCACTTTTCTCCGCGTTCCTCTCGTCTTTCGTACCACGTCGCTTCGCCGTGACCTACCCCAAACAAACCACGAGAAAAAGAGGGAAGAGGAGCGTACGGCGGTGCGGCCGCGCGGGGGCGGCGAAAGAAAGAGAGAGACGTAGCGAGGAGGGCGCGTGGTAGAAAGAGAGAAAGAGGAAGAAGAAGTAGGAGAAGGTGGACGCGGAGCCGGGAGCGGAGGGGAAAGGGGCACACCGAGAGAGAGAGAGA